TTTTATACAGTACTAATTCTTTACTTGTTTCTTTGGTGGGCTTTTGATAATTTTGTTTAAGCCCTTGTTTGTACATCCTTCCCTTTTTCTGAAGTAATGAAGTAATACTTTCTCAAAAAATAATATAGCCTTGAATTATTCAGGGGTGTAACTTAGTTACCTGATTAAATACTTTTCACTCTAGACCCAGGATTTTGGGTGGGGATTGTTCAAATTTAACAAACCTAAGCCTGCCCAAGTTGCACCCTAGAACCACATTTACACAACTCATGCTGTTAATCTGCGTACATTTTTACCATCTGAAATAGTTTTATGCTTATGGAAGCACTTAAATCCCTTTGACTTAACATTATATGAACTCAACTTTTCCTACAATGATTAGTTTTTTTTATTCAAAAAATATCATTGCTTTTTTTTTTTTTATCTAAAAGAGTTCTATTCATATACTTTCATTTCTTTTATATTCTTTGTTCCTATTTGGTGTTTCAGTGTTAGATCTTTCTCCTGTATGTTTATTTTCTTCTGGTAGGCTTTTATTTGTTAATATTTGGCTTTTGTTGCTTTTGTATTGCAGTGCTCAGCGGTTGCATAATTTGGGTGATGAATCAAATGCGCTTCCTCTTTGGAGACAGGTGAATTTCTGCTTAAAAATTGACTTGATTTAGTGCTTATTGAATTGTCTAACAGTGATGAAAGAAGTTTTTGGCTTTCCAAATAAAGGTGCCTTTGTTGTTGTTGCTTGCACCTGCATTGGTGTGGGTGATGAATCAAATAAGCTTCTTTGGAGATAGATGATTTTCTACTTAAAAAATTGACTTAATTGCTAACTGAATTGTCTAATATGATAAGAGAATTTTCTGGCTTTCCAGATAAAGGTGGCTTTTTTGTTTCTTGCACCTGCATTATGATACAAATAATGGCCTTTCTATCTTTATATTTGAGAAATTGACCATTTGTAAATGTCATATATGTTTCACCAATTAAAAAACGTTATATCTGATTCACCCTTTGCAGATGTTATGTATAGAATTTTTCTTTCTTATTTTACCCAATAAATGACTAATTTGGTTTATCTCATCACTCCTTTGAGTTGTTGTTTTGTTTCAGGTAGACCCTAGGTTTGTATGGAATAATTATATGCTGGAAGTGCTCATAGATAACCAGGTAAGATGTGTTCATAAAGATATTAATATATTGCATGACTCATTTCCTCCAATATTTTGCAATTGTAAACAAGTGGCTTCTGACACCTCTTGATTGTAATGTCTACAGCTTGACCCATACTTGCTTCCTGTTGTCCAAGGGAGTATCCTTACGTTTGATGAGCTCTAGCTTTTATTAGATTTATAAAGAGCCAACTATTGTCTTGATTTATTCCATTGCATTATTTGACTAAATATAGGGATTTTATCTATCTTCCAAATTGGAGTTACATCTTAACAGCCCATTAGGCTTTCAGAACTTTCAGGCAGCAATTGGGAGAGACATAATTGATGTTACTCTTATTGCACGGCGATGCACAAGGAGAAATGGTGTGTATGCTCTCGGAATCTGAATTTGGACTTAAGTTGTTTGGTTTGCTAAAATTTGCCACTGGTGGATACAGTGGTTTTGGTGGGAGGAGCCCATTTTGTTCTGGTTTAATTGAGTTGAGCTTATCTTATTTCATTGGGATAGGACTTGGAAGGAAATAATGAAGAACCAAGATGATTTAAAAGGTTCCGATGTAGGACAGATTTGGGATAATGTATCTCTTACTATTATTAGAGAAAAATAGAATCATAGAAAATTGAAGTTAAAATAAGTCAGAATCAAACCTTTTTTTTTCTCAAATCAAGTTGAATTAAAGCACTCTTAGTACACATTTGTCAATAGCCTAAAACTAGTGAACTCATCACAACCAAACAAAACAAAGGAAAGAACCATTTTTTTGAATGGTCAAATGTGCCAATTAAAAGGAGTTTTCTCATATATGTATATCATGTTGACACATACATTCCTTAAGCACCAAGAAATCAAAATTGGACACTAACTGTAACATCTAATATGCAAACATGAATTTGTAAAAAGAGAACAGCATCTAAGCCTAATACCTAGCAAAATGTACTATAAAATAGACAACTTTATCTTCATAAATTAAAGAAAAACTTGATGATAAAAAAATTAAAAAAATTCATAATCCTTCATGTATTTGTTGACAAAATACCATAACTTGCTTAATTTGTGTCTAAATCACATAATTTTGGGCTTGTTAGATAAGTGATCAAATACCCTATGGTAACACTGGAATAAGGCCACTGGAACAAGTTTTAACCCTTTAGTTTTAGGATGCAAGTAGCATAATGGCCTTTAGACAAAATTATCTCCTTACTTTAGGTGAAGACTAAGTGGTACAAAACAACTTTGGAATTTAGCTCCATTATGTCCCACATTAGAGAAATTGGCCATAGTCAGATTAGTAAACTTTGGCAAAATGGGTGGTGGTTGTGGGTAAACTGCATGATACTTGACCCTAGAAAAATAATTCCAGTCCAAGTCATTCGGTTATTGAGAAATCATTCTTTTGTATATCAGAACACCATCATCAATTGAAGTAAAATTTTGATGTTCTAATTAAATATCATCAGTTGAGAATAGACAACCCGTAATGTTAATATGTTATAGTGGTTTGAACATATTGTTCATCCTAATGTAATTATTACTTATAAGGTACACGAATGTGGAGAAGAGGGGCTGATTCAGATGGTTATGTTGCAAATTTTGTGGAAAGTGAGCAGATTGTTAATATGAACGGGTTTACAGCATCATTTGTTCAGGTAACTTAGACAAGTATACTTGAAGTTTTATTTTTGTGAATATCTACATTGTGTTAAATTGATTTCTGCTTTCAAATTGCAGGTTCGAGGGTCTATTCCATTGCTATGGGAGCAGATTGTTGATTTGACATATAAGCCTAAATATCAGATTGTGAAACCTGAGGAGGCAGTGAGTATTTTAATATCCATATACCATCAATCAGTTCTTTATTTTCCTTTTTTCTTTTGTATTGAAATTATTTGTTGTACAGTCTTTTCAATTTATATTTGTATTTGCCAATGCTGCATTACCAAATTTCCAAATGCTGATTCTTGTCGATTTATATTCATTTCAGCCTCGAGTTGTTGAGCGACACTTTTTGGACCTAAGAAAAAGTTATGGGTCTGTCATATCTGTTGACCTTGTCAATGAGGTAAATCTAAAAAGTTGTGTTTCTTGTTTTCATGGCTGCTATAAGTATTCTAGCATTTCATTATTTAGTTATTTGCACATGACCATACTAATTTATTTAAACACATAGATTTGCATGTACTGAATTCTTTACTATATATGCATACCCCTGAGTGTCCAATGGGGACAAAACCTCCTTTCAACTAGATCTTCAGTGGTTCCAAGTGGTTGTGTAGTGTAATCTAATCACTCGACATGTGTTTCTTCATATTTATACTTTTAAATCGTTTTGAGAAGCATGATACTATCTTCATATTAATTCTCTAGTGGTTGATTCAACTTAGTACCCTAATCATGACTAGAGTGCGGGATTCTATGGGGCCATTTTCCAATGGTTTCCCTGGCTATCTGGTGCAGTTCAGAAACAAATTGCGTTAAGAGAAGCTTCAAAGAAAAGAACAAAAGCCGAAAATAACAAAAAGAACAATCCTTCACCAAATAATTAAGAGAAAATCAACAAAAACCCTCTAGCTTTTTCCTAGCTAGTCTTTATATAGACTTATTTACACCCTTATGCCTTCTACAAGGAAGTTTCCTAATATAATAAAACAATCCTTATTATAATCCTACTAAATCTCTTCAAAAAAGAAAGTCTTAATTGAATACAAATTCAGAAATCCCACTGTAATGCTAACTTAGTAAATGCAAACCAAGATAGATAGATACAAAAATCTTGCATTGATGCTATCTTGGTAAATATGAACTAAGTTGGGTTGTCGAAAACCAACCTAGTAAATGTTTACTTAATTGGGCCGAATCCCGTACTGCATCATCCTCCCCAGGTTGGAGAGAATCTGACCCCGGATTCATGTTACCATCTGAGAGGCTGCCAACATATGGCGTTGCAATTCCATTATGCTTCTTTAACTTTCTCTAGGTAATTGGTGGTGTAATCCTCTAATATGAATTGGAATATCTTCATTACATCTCTTAAATTTTGAAACATTTTTCTTGATCTTCGAATAACTTATTTCTTCCTTTACTAACCATGTTGGACATTGCAAAACTTTTTTGCCAATAAGGATCTTCGTAGACATGTATGTAGACAATGTGATCATAATCCCCAAGACGATAAATATTATCTCCATTATTTTGGAATTCATTGTGAATGATGGAAGATTCCGCCTTAGCAATTGGTTTTTCATCAAAGATTGGAGGTTTGTTCCAATCAACAAGTTTCTCTTCAATAGATATTGTTGAGGAGAATGACCATGAAAGATATTCGTTACAATCCTCAACAATATTAAAGCAATCAACAAAGTCAAAAGATTTGATTTTACCTTCAGACATTGGAACTGATAACTCCTCCATGGAACTCTATTAAATGAATTTATTTGGGGCTATACCTCCATGAAACTCTGGGAACTCAAATTTGAGATCTGTTTCCCATCGCTTCTGTTCACCACTCGTAACTACAACCAATTTGGTTGCTTGCCAAGTAGAGAAACCTCCATGAAACTCTGGGATCTCAATATTGAAACCCGTTTTCCACTGTTTCTAGTCACCACTGGCAACTACAGCCGACCTGGATGCTTGCCTTGATGATGAAAAGTAACGAGTGGAGGCACTTGCGTTGGGGCCACTATCCCCTGTTTCAGAATGAGAACATAGCGTTTTAACTCTTGAGGAAGTGCATCGACTTACCTTCTCAATTCTGCCACCTCTTCTTGTGATTTGTTATTGAATTTCTGATCCACGACGTGATCCACTTGTTTCTTCTTAGGAGCCATAATCCAAAGAAGGATCAAACTTATGCTCTGATACCAAATGGCGTAGTTCGGAAACACATCACATTTAGAGAAGCTTCAAAGAAAAGAACAAAATCCGAAAAGAATAGGAAGAACAAATTTTCACTAAATAATTAAGAGAAAATCAACAAAACCCCCTGGGTTTGCCCTAGCTACTCTTTATATATACTTATTTACACCCTTATGCCTCCTACAAGGAAGTTTCCTAATCTAATAAAACACTCCTTATTATAATCCTAATTGAATACAAATTCGGAAATCCCACTATAATGCTAACTTGGTAAATGCAAACCAAAATAGATTGATACAAAAATCCTGCATTGATGCTATCTTGGTAAATACAAACTCAGTTGAGCTGTCGGAAACCAACTTAGTAAATGTTTACTCAGTTGGACAGAATCCCGTACTGCATCACTATCCATGGTCTTAGGAGTGGTAGACTGGATACATGCCTAAATTTTGACATTTTTTTTAACAAAGTGGCTTCTCATAGATTTGGACCTATACTCTCATGCTTGCGAGTCTGACATTTTACCATTATACCAAACAATGACCTTTGGATCAATATGTTTGTATTACTTAAAATTATGGCACAAAAGCCTATTGAGTGCTAACATGTACAACTAGAGGTGCTTGTAGTCATGCATATATATATATATATATATATACACATATTTATGTATGTACATATACATATGCACACACACACATATGTATAATTGTGTGTATATGTTATGTCAGTTGTGGTTATGCATGAATCTATGAGATGACTTTGATATAGTTTTGGTTGTCATTTTCTCATCAGCGTGGAGGTGAAGGATGGTTGAGTCAAAAGTATTCCAATGCAATGCAGAATGTTACAAATGACGATATAAGGTAAATAATTGCCTCTCTTGTTAGTGTGCAATTTCCTTTTACTATTTGCTCTTATTATCTTCTGAAATCAATCAATTACTGTAGATATCTCCACTTCGATTTTCACCACATTTGTGGTCATATTCATTTTGAGCGTCTCTCTATTCTTTATGAACAAATTGAAGATTTCCTGAAGAAAAATAGGTATTCTATCCTTTTCAAATGCGAAATCATGAAATACTTTATTCTTGATTAATGCTAAATCTATGTTTCTTGAATTTTTTGCTTAAAACCCTATAAATTCAAACAGAAATGCAATGTGGTACAAAAGATTTGTTTGTATAATTTATGGGTTTTTGTTTCATCTCTTGGTTGTTTATAATATACCAATGTCATCTTACAATTAAAGGGCTTTCTATTTTTATTTTTTAATCTTTATGTTTCATTTTGTATTTAACAACTTTAATAATTTGATTACAGATATTTATATTGATTCTTATTGAATGCCTCGCTTACCTTAGTTAAGATACCATTTCTATTGTCAAAAGACTAAAGCAAAGGGTATTTTCAGCAACATGTGAACAAGATACCAATACAAGGAAAAGTGAACTGAAATAGCATAGCCTATATTTTCTTCTCTAATTAAATATAGATTTACAATAAACAGTATTGTTTACCAAAGTAACAAAGTATGGAGCAGGTTGGAATATAGAAGTGCCAAATTTCAAAATATTTTCTTCTGTATATGTTACTTGCATTTTTCTATACATATACTGTGCTTACCATTTAGATCATTTACTGAGCTTCTCTAAATGTCTTCAAGACTGAGAGTGACCACTTCATGCAAAAAGCCAAAAATCAGGTCCTTTGTCAGTATATCCCTCCCTAAATTGCAGATAGATAGGACGAACATTGGGTAATGGCCCTTTAAATGATGATATATACATATTGGTTAAATCTGGCCCTGTTCGTACATAAGTCTGGACCCTTCTAACTTTACCATTTCTTGTGTCATTGGATAGGTTCCACTCTCACTTAGTTGATTAGCTGGTACAAGAATTGGCCTGTAAGATTATAACTGTGCCATTGTTGAATTTAATTTGATGACAGAAAAATCTTTGTTTTATAAATAAAAGTTCTCCACGAACAATGTCCAAATTATATGGTTAGAAATCATCCATTTATGCTTTTTTTGTGGCCAGATTTTTAGGTAGGACCTATCTAATGGTGGATCCTGATCCTTAAAACATGCAATACTTGGAAAGATATGTGGGCCTCAGATGCTTCTATAGGTGCTGGTAACCAAACCCAATACACTCCCTATATATAATATTATATTCCAATGCTTTCTTCATTTGTATGTGAGAATAATATCTATAAGAGGGAGGAAGAGTATGAATTATCAAAAAAAAAAGAGGGAGGAAGAGTATGATGCAGGATCTTTGTGATTCAGCACTATTCTTGTAACCAACTTATGTCTATATGTGTAGCACAAAACAAAGAGCTAACAGAGAAAGAAGAGAAGAGATGGAAATAAGATGAAAACCCTAGGCAATCACACCTAAGGGTGAGGTAAATCACACCCCAACAATCATACCAATTCTGTAGAGAACTTTCTTTTTTCATTAGCTAAAACTCCTCTTCAAATGAGCCTTGAAAGCTTAATAATAAGAAGAAGCTTCAATTTCCCCCCCCCCATTTAGCTTGCCCAAACAAGCCACTTACTAAAAGAAGCTAGATTAGGCTAAACCTCCCCCAAGGAAGTGCATACATAAAACAATAATACAAAGGGAAATTACTAGGCTAATACTTGTCACCAAACATAACCTTAAACATGCAAAATTACAAAAGTACCCTTTCTATCTAGAAATGTAAAGAAGTCAAATAAGTCCTGTCCAAACTCAACCACACAAAGAGCATCTTAAGGTGGATTGAAGACTCTAGGGTCTTCCCAAGTTGATCCATTGCTAACCCAGCTCCCGTGTGGGCCCCATGTCATCATAATGATGCTAAATATGCATAGGAGCAGCTTTGGTTCTCTTTTGATACTTCTTAAGTTGATCCCCATTAGAGTAAGAGGTGTTTGGTGAATAATATGTATTAGAGAGAAAGATGGTAAATAATAAACTTGCATGCTTTTAATGATAGATCTTGAAGATAGGGTGAACTGGCTGTGGAGTTGATCTATAGAAACTTTGGAGGGATTTGATAGATAGAGGAATGAGGTATATCAGTGATCAAAACCTTTTCTCAACTTGGGAAGGCAGGGGGAGGAATGCTGGATTTCTGTGAAGGCTGGGGGAAGATATGGGCAACATCTGACTGTGTATCACCTAAGGGAAAAAAGTTACAAGAAGGCTAATTGATGTATTATGTGCATTAGCAGGGTGGAAAGCCTTTCTTTCTGGAAACTGTCTCTAGTGATTTCCTTCAAATCTGACATATAATGACCTTCTGTGAACCATGGTAAAAAGTAAGTTTCTGGTTCATGGGACTTTCCAAGAGAACAGCATTTTATGTCCTTGAAAATTTGTTATTTTGTTCTACATTATTTCTCCCATTTTGTGTAGGAGTTTTCTAGTGGGAGGTGGGCTAGATAGAAAACCTGCACTAGGGATACATCTCCCTTTTACAAATGCAATAGATGCTATTCCATCCCTTGATATCAAAACCAATCTAGTTTGAAGTTTGTTCACTTTTCCATCTCAAACACTCATGGGCTTTTTTGTTGGATTTGACCCTATCCAGTCTTGGGTAGGGTTACCATTGGTGGAAAATTGCACAGAGATTCTCCCTTTGTTGTGTACTATTGTTTTCTTGTGTGGTCTATACTTCTGGTGGCATTTGTGTTTGTGTGTATTCCTTTATGTTCATGTTAGTATTCTTTATGTTCTAGTAAAGGAAAAAGAAGAAATAATTAAACTTGACTTCCAAAAGTAGAAATTATTTAACTGTCTGTATCTCCAAATCAATTTATTAATTCCCTTTCAATTTGTTTGGCAGCATAGTTTTCTACATATATTGTGTTTCTCCACATTCAGTATTTTTACCTTTTATATTTCTATAGGTATTTTTTGTTGAATGAGAAAGGTGAAAAAGTTGAGGAGCAGCATGGGATTGTGAGAACCAATTGCATTGATTGTTTAGACCGCACAAATGTTACACAGGTGAAGTTAAATATACTAGTCTATTTTTTCTCTCACATTTACTTTACTCTTTCTTAGCTTGAACAGGTATGCTAGGTACCATATAAATATTAAGATTGCACTTTAGGCAGATAATTTCCATTGGCTAACTACCTGAATTGGAGATATTTAGAAATTCTATAGAAGATTGCAAGAAATGTCAAAGCGATTCTAGACTCAGGATGAAAACCGTTTCTTGGAAGTTATCCAAACTATATAAAATGCTTGGAATTAGTGGATTACAGGAAGGGAACAAATACAGAACAAAACATTCTTAGCTTTATATATCCTGACGAGCCAAAAAATAATAAAGAAAAAATAATGTAAACATGTTTTGAAATTGTTCGTTTTTGTAGTAGGATGCGAAATAGTAGTCTTGGGTAGTCAGTTTGGGTCTAGGAGTATTTTCGTCATTTCATAATTTAGATTCTGGTTAGGGGCAGTTGGGTGCACCATTGTTGAGCTTTGGTCCCTTGGGTTTTTTGTAACTAAAGTTATCTTTTGGGGATTATTTGAAGTTATTTTATTCTTAAGGAGTTGTTTGTGAAAGGGGGACATTCTAGGGGTTTATGAGTAAATATTTTAGTTGTTTTTCCAGTAAACCGTTGAGTCTTATAAAAGGAGATAGGGGCTATTTTTGGGTGTATTTTGGTTCTTTTCTCTTGTTTGAGCTGTGGATCAACACTTATCTAGAGTTTTCAAGTATTGGAAGCTTAGGTTTTGAGGAGTCAACCCTTTTGGCTCTTTCCAATCCTTGTATTGCCATGTGTTCACGCAAGAAGCCAATTCGATGCCATTGCTACTATAGAAAAATGGTTCTAGGAGGAGTTTTGCTTTAGGTTCAGTTTTGAAACCTATAAAAATATAGTTTGCTTTTGTTGTTTCAGCTTTGTGTTATTGTTCACTTAAAGTGCTACATTCTAACTTTCTTGCTGACAACATCAAGTGGCACCAAAGCAAATTCTTTCCTTGGAATTTCTTCAAAGTTCACTTTCTTGTTATATCTTGCTTACATTATAATGGTTGCAAGGGGTGCATGTGGTAGGGGTAGTGGAAGACTACAACATGTCATTATATAGGCATTTCAAGAGGATATAAAAGGGCTATATGAATAGATTGAGTGTGTTGCCCAACTTGTATCCCAAAATGTTGCCAGAGATTGTTATGTAGCAAGCGATTTGGGGCTAGGAAGGAGATGGCAAGCTTCTAGAGCTGATGAACAACAGAACAACCGACTAACATTGTTAGTGAAGAATCAAGTGAAGAAGACATTAAGAAACTTGAATGTGAAGTGATAGTGATTAGACACCCCATGATTGTGCCTCAAGAACCACTATCAGGGGAGTAATTAGGGAAGAATATCTTTAGAACACACTATACAACTAGTGGGAAATTGTGGAACTTGATTATTGACAATGGAAGTAATCATAATCTTGTGTCTCAAGAGATGATGGATAAGTTGCAGGTGAAAACTATTGAGCACCCCTAGCCATATCACATTTTGTGGTTCAATAAAGGAAAGGAAGAGTTTCTTCCAAATGCTTGGTTAATTTCTCTATTGGTAATACATTTGAAGAATCCATTTGGTGTGATGTCCTCCCAATGGATGCATGACATATAATCTTGGGACGCCCATGGAAGAACGGCTGTTAGACTATTTATTATAGAGTCAAGAATACATACAACTTTAATATTTCAATCACCCATCTCCAATTTTCTGATGATATAATAATTTTTTGTGAAGGGGTGATCTGAGGTTGGTGAGGAATCTCAAAGATATTATCAAATGTTTTGGAAGGGTTTATAATTTGAAAGTCAATTGGGATAAGAGTGGTGTGGTAGGTATTAATTTAGATGAGTGGGTTGTTGGTTCCATTTGTAGATTGTTTATATTGTCCTACTTCCTCTTGGCCCTTGTCTTACCTAGGTCTCTATCTAGGTGCAAACCCAAAGGAGAGTCAGTTTTGGATTCCAATATTGGAAAATTTTGAGAAATGGTTGTCGACATGGAAAGGGAATACATTTCTCTAGGCACAAGAATCACTTTGATTAAAGATACACTAGCTAACTTACCAGTCTACTTCCTTTTTGACTTTAGAATCCACTCTAGGGAAGCTAAGAGGCTAGAAAAGTTAATGAGGAATTTCTTTGGGAACCTGTGGAGGAGAAGAAGGATCACTTGATAATGTGGGAGGTAGTTTATTAGACTAAAGAGGAGGATGGACTTGGTTTAGGGAATTTAACCTATAAGAATGTGGCCTTGTTGGGAAAATGGTTGTGGAGGTGGCTACTAGAGAGAGAGAGAGAGGTTATGGCATAAGGTGATTAATAGTATTCATGGTTGCTGGTGTGTCATGTTGGGCTAATTTGGCTTTGACTTGGAAAGCTATTGCTGCTATCCTTCCTTAGTTCCTCACCTTTATAAGATATGACGTTTTCTCTAGAAATTCAATACTATTTTGGGAAGATATTTGGGTGGGCAATTCAGCCCTCAAGGACCTCTCCCCCTCCCTCTACTCTCTCACTTTACAAAAAGAAACTATCTCTAGATGTCTGTCCCCTCTTGTCTCTCCCTTAGCTTTGAATTAGGATTTTGGTTTCCGGAGGGGACTAAGGGATGATGAGCTTGTTTATGCCTCAGAGTTTCTACTTATCCTTGGTGATGTTTGCTCGGACCCACTTAAACCGAATAGAAGAATTTGGTCTCCCTCTCCAAAAGGTTCCTTCTCGGTTGCTTCTTTTTTCAAGTCCCTCTATGTTACCCCTACCTCTTTGGGTTTCCCTGTAAAGGATGTTTGGACTAGGCCTATTCCCTCTAAGGTTTCTGTTTTTTTGCTGCGAAGTGTTTCATGGGAAAATTAATACTTTGGATAATATGCAAAAGAGACCTTTTATGTGTTTGTCCCGATTTGGTGCATTCTTTGAAAATCTGGTGGTGAAGATTGTTGTCATTTACTATATCCTGCTCTTTTGCTTTGGCTATTTGGATTTGGATTCTTGATTTTTTTGGGTGTGGGTGGAACCTGCCAATACTGTTATTTGAGTCCTCAACTTTTGCTTGGCCTACAAAAGAGGGAGGGTAATGTGGAGATGAATTAGAGCAACTGACTTGTGGACAACCTGGGAGGAAAGGAATGCTAGTATTTTCCAAGACAAGGAAAGAAATATGTCATAAGTTAAATGACTGCATTTTGACTAGGGAAATACACTGGTTAAAGGCTACTACTACTTTCCAGTCTTTCTCCTTTGATGAGTTGTGGAGGTGTTGGCTAGAAGTTGCCAGTAGTTCCTTTTGTAAGGAAAGTATTATTGCAAATTGGTTTCATCCCCCTGAAGGTTTTATTAAATTGAACTTTTATGGCAGCGGTCAAGGTAACCTCGGCTTGTTTGGTGTCAGAGGGGTCTTGAGAGATAAGGACAGCAACATAATAGCCTTGCTTTCAGAACCTGTGAGAAGTGAAAATTCTAACATGGCTGAATTACTAGCAGCTTTACAGGGGTTCAGCTAGCAATTCAGCTTGGTGTGGAGAATTTAATAATTGAAGATAACTCTTAAGGTGGTTGTTAGATCTGGATTCGATTGTTTGGTGTTTTAGAAATCTTATAAAGAAAGCCAGGTGGCTAACAAGAGACATGAATGTGAGGTGCCAATGGGTGCAAAGGTCCGCAGACAATTTGGCTGATTCACTTTCCAAACAAGGGGTTAATAGGGATAATTTGTTGTGGGCCGTTTTATAATTGTCTAATTCTGATTTCTTTTCTTTTTGGCTGTTTTATAGCCTTTGTTTAGAGTGAGGGTGCATCTAACGCCTTCCTATGGGATGCTTGTAGCAGTCCTATCCTTTGATTAATGAACTAATTTCAATTATGAAAAAAATAATGCATACAGCTTTGTCAAAGATAATAAGAAGATAACTCTTAAACCAATGTAGATTGATTCTTTTTCGAAGAAAAAACTAAGCCAACTACTTCCCTCCTTACTTCAAATAACTTGGTTCAAGAAGATGGGGATTTGGATGTTGTTAATGTGTTGGTTATCAAGGAATGAAATTAACAAAGAAAATCTGTTTTAGGGAAGGTGAAGAAGCTACTTCACAAGTATGCTGATGTGATGCCTGAGGAGCTACTAGATGGCCTTCCTCCATTAAGGGATGTGTAGCATCACATTGATTTATTGTTCGGAGTAGCATTGCCTAACCTGCGCCATTATAGAATGAGTTCTAAGGAGCATGAAGATCTCCAAAGTCAAGTAACAATGCTGTTAAAGAAAGGACTAATTTGTGAAAACTTGAGCCCATACGTTGTACCAGTTTTGTTCATGCCAAAGAAAGATGATGGTGGTTGGTATATGTGTGTTGACAACCAAACTATCAACAAGATTACTATTAAATACAAGTTTACTATACCTTTCCTTGACACATTGATTGTCTCACAAGTCCTTTAAAAGATAGATTTAAAGTGTGGGTAGTACCAAATTCGTATTTGAAAGGGAAAGCTTGTCATAGTTTAATTTGATGACATACTCATCCATAGCAAAGATCATGACAGCCACTTGGAACACTTGAGAGTAGTCCTACAAGTCTTGAGAAAAAGTCAACTATATAAGCTTAAAAAGTGTAATTTTATGATAGAATTTCAGAACTATTGTGGTACTCATTACCAAGTGCTTGAAAGGAGGAGAGTTTACTTGGACTCCCATATCTGAGCAAAGATTCCAAGAGCTAAAGATGAGGATGACAAAGGGTTTGATACTATCTTTACCAGATTTCAGCAAGCTTTCTGAAGTTGAATGTAATGCATCACATGTGGGGATTTGGGGCTGTCCTTAGTCAATAAGGTCGTCCAATTACTTTAGTGATAAACTTAAGGATGCTATAAATAAGTATTCCACTTATGATGTTGAGTTTTATGCCATTGCATAATTTTGGAGGCATCTTATCCAATTAGAGTTTATGTTATATTTTGACCATGGAGCATTGAAG